AAATAATTCTCTAAGCTGATTCTAGATAAAATAAAATAAAGCTTTAATATGCGTTTAGCTACCTTTAAATGGCGGCTAAACTCCAAAAGCCCCAAACTGGATAGCAGGCCCAACTCTCCTTTCTGAAAGAGGAAGATGGGTCTCAGAGAGAGGTGTGTTGTGGGATTATTCCACTGACATCTGCTCACTGCAGCTACACTCAGCAAGTCTTACTTTCTCCATCTACAAAATGAACATGAAAATGCATGAAGAGATATCCTAGAGATAAAACAGATCCTAGACATATATCAGGAGAAGTGCCTAGAAAATATTTGTTCACACGTGTATCTTCAGATCAGAATACTCCACAGCAACGATGCCATTAAACCCATGCTAGATTGCCTTGCTCAGTCTGAATACAGGGGATGTTCTAGATCTTAAAACCGCTTGATAAGCCATGCTTTTCTGATGCGCATGGAGGCCTGTACCTTTCTCAGTAAATACAGAGGAGGAATGGATTGAGGGGGAGGACGGAGGAGAGGAGCGAGGAAAGGCAAAGGTTGGTATGTAAAATAAACAAATAAAATAATAAATAAATACATTTTAAAAAGAATGAAGCAGACAGAATTAACTGGAAGTGAGTCAAAGTTATAAACTCTCAGAGCACCCCTGCCCAGTGTCATGCTTCCTCCACCTCTTTCAGAATTCACAACTTCACAAAATAGTGCCACCAACTGGGGGCTGTGTGTTCAAATACCTGACCATATAGGGAACATATTTCATTCAAACTGCCACAATATATAAAAATGTACCACAGGCAGACTAAATAGAAGAAATAAAGGTTTTTTAATGAAGTTTTATGAAATATATTTCCTTTTTATGTTGAAACAAAAAAGTATTAATATTGATATTAAAGCAATAAAAGGTGAAGTGGCATATATTAATCCAAAGATCCAGCAACTAAGGGAATGCAGATTCCACCTTGTGGAGTTTCTCTGACTCACCTTGTCTGACTCTCCATAGATGCAGCTTGAGGGAGTTTTTCCTCATGTTTCTAAAATGACATTATTTCTTAATTCTTAATTAACTAAAATTAGGACTTTGCTTATCTGTCCATAAAGCTCACAGCTTTTAAAAATAATTAGGGGTTTATCTTAGGATAACTTTTAAAAGTCTAAGGTAAGTAGGCTTCCCACTACGCAAGTTTGTCGCTTATGTAACGTCCAGGTGAAGGGAAAACTGGAGGAGCTGAGGCCTCTCTGTCCTCCCCCTCCATATGATGTCTTAATCATACTCAAAACCTGAGCCCAGAAACACACTGACTGCTAATTCCCCTGCCAGATAAAGTCGTGACAACATGTAGACATGATTTCATTAAGGCAGATAGGTAACAGCAATAGCTCAAGCTAAAGAGATAAGCAAGGAGGCCCACAGACCCAGCTCAATGCCAAAACCTACTTAAGGCTTGGGGTGATGTGGTGAGTGGGATATCGCATATGACTCATTAGTTGTGCTCTTAAAGTTTTAATTTAACCCCTTTACTCCTACTTCTACCTCTACCAACATCTTTTCAATATTACCCGATGCTCTCTGCATAGTCAAAATTCAACTATGAGCATTTATTTTTAATTTAGTTCCAAACTCTATTCATTTCTATTTTTCTGAAACAGAGTTTTGCTTTTTCTAACTGGTCTGAAACTTGCTACATAGTCCAGGTTAGCCTCAAACTCTCAATCCTATCTCAACTTGCTGGTAGCTGGGATTACAGATGTTTGCCACCTGTCCAGATTATATGATACTTTCAAATGAAAAGTAGGCTTTCCCCAATAACATTTTGTTTGGCTAAGTCTTCCTTACAGGAATGTCTTAACATACTAAAGATTTATGTGAGAAGAAACAATTTTGCTTTGGAATTAAAGCCAATAGTCATCTCTTTGTGAACTAATGACCCTTCTTGGTAAGGTTGCAGTAACTAGAGCCATTCTTCCTTTAATGAGAACTAAATGGCACTCCAAGAAGAAACATGATGATGAAATCAAACAGCTTCCCCCACCACCCCAAAAGTCACCAGATGCCAAGATAATATAACCTCTTGATTATCTAACTAAACTCCTCAACATAGAATTAGGAACTGGAAGATAGTCTCAAAATTTTCTATTTGATTATTATATATTTTTATTATTTTTCCAATAAGATTGAATGGCAAATTTCATTAAATTTATGATAAAGACCCAGAAAGAGACTTATGTAGGTAGTAAATGAAAATTGGATGTAGCTAACATGCCAAGAGTTGAAGAGTCAATACATAGATGAGTCTAATGTACCTTCTAAGGCAAGAACAAATGCTTTCAGACCTATGGCCTCCATCATTCCAGTTTTGTTTTGATTTCTGTGTTGAGTTCAACATTTAGGCTTTTGATCAGGTTACCTCTAGCATAATTCCAACAAAGAGAGTTGAAGAAATAACCCAAAGAATCTGGAAGTCCAAATGTCTACCCAAGAAATCTATATTATCTTTTCTATTCCTTTTGAAAGTGTCATCTGAAAGGCTTTTCTCTTGGGAAGAAGCCACTTACCCCACCTTTCATTCTTGTATCAGATTCACACTGAATTCCTTGTGAAGACCACATATTTAATTTTACAAATGAATAATAATTGAAACCCTGGTTCTTCCTAGTTTTTCTTTTGCCAAGTAAGATTTGTGACAGTTTTCTCAACTGTTGTCATTTGGTCTAGAAATTTAACTATACTTTGATTTCAGAAACATCTATTTGCATATCTAAATGGAAGAAAAACAATTCGAGGAGCAGGGCAAGGTGAAGGAATCCACAGTACATAAGATCTCTATTAATGGAAGAGAATAGGTGGTCACTGCATTGACTACTCATGCCTCAACCTGCAAACAATCTAATAAGAAGAGCTTTCAGAAGGTTTACAAAGTCTGTTTATTTAATAATTCACATGGAATAAACTTGCCATTGATCATCTTTAAAAGCTTTTTAATGTAGTATCTTTTAATATTAAGTTGGTTCAGACACTGCTGATGTGACAGCCACTTTCCTGCCTTCCTAAGTTTATGATTGCAAGACTTTCTGTGTCAAAGCCAAGTTTAGAAGAACCCTCATGTAAAGTCCAGCAAGTAATTCAAATTTTAAAAATTAAGTTTAAAATGTTTTCAATAATTCTGCTCAAGCTACAATTATTCAAAGTGTTTACTCTTCCTCCTTCATCTAATACCCTCTGGTTAAAATTAACAAGTTCTAAGTGTGAACATTAAAATACTGTGGAGGAAAATGTAAGAAAATTTTTATTTAAAATAAATTGGAGCTCTTTTTGGAAACCACGGATCAGAGACAAGCATGCAGTAATTCAATTTAACAGCCTTTCACATGCTTAAAAGACTGTGTCCCTCAGAGCATTGACACAACCACTGAACACTTCCCAGAAGCTTCTGGAGTCAAATGACCACAGTGCATTTTCATGAGTAAGAATTTGAAAGGTTATAGTGAGAAACTTTAGAAGTGCACATCAAAGTCTATTGCATTGACAGCCTTTGAAGTGTAGAGCACAGAACCAAGACCATTTTGGCACCTTCACAGAATATGGAGGGGCAGCAGGTTCTATCCTCTCTGGCTAATAGGCCAGTGACACTGCAAGAAGATGTAGTTAGCATTTCAGTGAGGATCGACAGACTTTGTGATAATTTATTCAAGTTCTTTCCATTAAAGATACAGTCGTGTGGTGTTTATATAGACTATCTCATTGTAGGACTTCTCCTGGGACTTGAATATGTCTTTATTTTCTATATTAAGAAGTACACATTTTATCAGTTTCACAGTGTACAACCCAGGACACCTTAACAGAAGTCTTTGGTAGAAACAGAAATCACTCCTAAAAGGAATCAATGAGATCATCTGCTCTGCTAGGGTTGAGGTTTTTGTCCATGCTCCAGTTCCCACCCCCACATCCAGACATCGTACAGAAGAGGCTGAGAAATACTGCCATAGATGGCTTTGGAATCTCTGACTTGGTTCTAACTTCATTAGCTCCATCTAAGACCTCATTCATCTGGCATCTAGATCACTCTTCAGAGTAACCATGAGCCTTTTCTTCCAATTTTCTCAATTTTAGTATATTCTCCATATTCTCATACTCTCCAATGTGCCATGATACAGTGTTTAAATATCTATTTACACCACACCACTCAGCCAACTTTCATCAGTCTGTATACTATGCAGGGTCTCTCTGGTCCAGGAATTGAAAACATCTGAGGCAGCCTCTAGTTTTCCATGGAAGCATTCATCTTTCTTTTCCATATTTATTGACTCTACCTGTCTTTCCCACAGCCTATAAGCTCTATGAGAGATTGACTCCATCTAGCACCCTTGAATAAAGTACAGAATGCAGATTTTAGTTAATCTGTGTGTAGAAGGTAAGAATCTGACGTCAGTTAACCAGTACTTTGAGCTGTAATATGTTGGTACCTATGTAGGAGCTCTTAGCTGAGGTAATGCCGTGTGGATTTGACATCTAAAGATAAGGCACTAGGAATGCTACATAAGAACTACTACTCATAGATCAGATGTAATGGCTCACACTGAAATCTCAGTACCTTTAAGGGAGATATAGAACAAATAACATATATGTAAGGCTATCCTGGTGTTCACATAGTGAGTTCCAGGACACCCTGAGCTACACAGTGAATTCCAACACAGCTACAAATACATGGTAAGACTCTGTCTCTAAAAACCAATATATTCTTTTTAGTATGCAAATTACCAGTAATAAGACACCAAATATGCAACATATGAAAATTCAGCACATATAATAGTTCATTAATAACAAAGGAAAATCAGGTGGGACTTTTTAATATTAAATAAGAATTTTACCATAAATATAAAGATGAATATACAAATCTGTACAACTACATTTAGAAAATTCAAAGTGTCTCTATTAGATAACCAAAAACTAATTCTCATATTGATAAATCTATAGAAATATTTTCAGTAAGATAGACATACCAAAAGGATCCATGAACTGCATAGAAATTAAGAAGTCATCTACAGGGAGGTAAACAAGAAAGGAGATATTGCAGGAGAGCTGAGAATGTCATTGTAAACTGACTTTTCACTCCCAACTATTTGCTCATTTTTAATCTCATGCCTTCTACCACATAACTGACATCTCAAAGACACATGTGGTTTCCTGCCCTATGGAACCAGTTTAAAATGGCTTTAGTCAATGGCAAATAGTCAGGTTTGCTGGTTCTTGGTCAATACCTTAAGTGGCTCTACAGTTTTCTGTTTGCCTTCTTATTCTTCAGCCATTTGTCATGGGGATATGAATGACATACAGGGCAGAACTGAGGCCAGCATACAGGAAGAAATCAAGTCAGCCATATACATAATCAGAATTAAAGCCACCCATCTGAGTCCAGCCCCTGAAAGTATCTCCCAGCCGATTACACACATGCAATAAAGAAACATAGAATGAAACTAAGATTTTGTGTTTCTTTACTATATGTCATTTTTGTGACCATAGCTACCTAATACATGATTAAACTGAGCAATGGGGACACTCTTCCCTTCTAGAAAACAAACCAAAACAAAAACAAAAACCTAAAATACCTTTCATGAGATTGATTCTTTTTTCTTCTTCTACAAATAAATAAATCAGCAAATTCACAACTGATCAGTAGAGCAAGTGTCTCTCCAGTGAGTTTTGACTACATTCTCCACTGGGCTCCATTTTTCTTCACAGTCAGGCTAACTTTAAAATTGAAAAAAAATTCCCTCTAATTTATAGATATTCCAATGATGTCGTGACATCATCTGTAAAATATGGAGGCAACTTAGATCATTAGTGTAGAATTCTGTTTTGGAGTCTGTTGTGAAATTGTCTTCTGATCATGATGGGGATGATTTCTCTTGAAATACCATCAAATGTGAATATTCCCATCACACTCACTTAAAACTGGACCCACTGGTTGCCAGCTATGGAGAGTGGAGGACTCACGATCCAACCCAAGGATTTATAATCATTGCTATGGAGAGGAGGTCATGAAGTTCCCCCTTTCCCAAATATGTATGTGGTTAACAGTTGCTGGAGGAGACATGTGTTTTAATTCAGTGGTATATCTGCCAATAAGTAGCCAGGCTTCTGGAAGTAATCCATTACCATGTTCCTGTAAGTAATGCCATGAGACTCACTAATTCACAAAGCTATACTTGAATAGACCATTTCTTTGTTACTGTCATTAGTGCCTTATCTGGGACAAGAAGACATTTGTTCATGTCCTCCCAGAAAATGTTCACATGATGGCACCCTTGGTACTGAGTGGGGAGCATTGGGAACCCTAGCATGTGGAGGGGGCAAATCAGAAAAGCTGAGTGGACCCTTCCTCAAGCACCCAGTAATATTTTCCTTTGACCTGTTTAAAATGTAGAGACTTTTTTGTGAAAAATCAATTTCACTGTTAAAAGTTAGAAACCTAACAAAATATTTTAAAATTTTTCTCAGTCTAAAAGTACTACAATTATCATATTTACCTTGACCACATTTCAGGGATTATCATACAATAAGCTCCTGTAATATTTTGACTTGACACTTTGCGTCATAAACTGTATATCTTTGCTCTCTTACTAATGATGAGTGTAAGTCGGGTTTGGCGGGGGCTCAAGCCTGTGCCCTTGGTGTCCTTTTCAGCTCCAAGTTCCTTCTTAATCTTGAAAATGCACTCAGATCTTTCCTATATTGGGTTCACATCTACTGTTCTAGTCTTCAAAGACCAACTTCTTCTTTTTCTTCAACTGTAGTTTATAAGACAGCCTACCAAATAAGGGTTCCTCAGTCCCCCAAACTGCTAGAGACCTGTGTGCCCTTGTCAGTCTCTATGACAGCACATTTTGTTTTCTTTTATTTACAGTTCCAGAAGCATCCACTCCTACTTACATTATTTGACATACTGATAAGTATAAAGTATGTGTATGAGGTCCAAGTTGTCTCATTTATTTTTGTATTAATAGAATCCAAAGCAATACCTGGCATATACCATATGCTCATTATGTGGATGAATGAATAAATGAATGACCTTCTTAGACTTTGTCAACATTTTCCTCACCATCTTTCTAAATATTATGTAACATTTACAGACAGGATGCATGTGCCCCCCCCCCCCCCCCCAATGCTCAAACATCAACATTCTCCCAATGTGCTCCTATGCATCATCCTTCTGTTACAGGCTTTTACATGTCAATGATCATTATGTGAGCAACTTCAGGAAATCTTTATCAGGTTCTTGAAATTTAGAAAGTGAGGATTCTCTAGGAGAATGCTCCTGGCTACTGCAAAGATGGCTTTCTCTGGAAATGAAAATGGTAGCATTTTTGCTTTAGCAACAGACTTTGGTGATTTTATCTGATATGAGTCAACATTTAAAAACCTATATTTATTAATGAACACGTTTAAAAATTTGATCTGGAAAGTCAAGATCTATACATTAGATCATAGTTTTGAGAGATCACCACTCCCACATTCTTGTTTTTCATTTTTATCTTCACATGATCCACATAACATTTCTTGGTTATATCATATCTATTATTTTTATATATTGTTAATTGCATTATGCATTTTATGTGCACATAACTATATAAAATGGAATGAGTAAACATGAACCCTTTTGTCACTGAGATATTTCAATGTTCTTTAGATAAAAGAAATATAGCCTATAGGCTCAGCATACATTCTTATGGGTAGGTATGGTTATAACACTACCCTTTTATACAAAATTATACATTTGAATTGCTTTTCATTAAGTTCTTTAGATGACTTTTGGGTCCTAACTATAGGGAGCATAAGCACAATTGATGAATGAAGGCTTTAAGGAAAATATCAAAAAACGTTCAAACCTGGGACTGAAATTTTTCCAGCAGTGGGATGGTTTATCTCCATAATGAGGCCATTGTGCAACACCTGAAAATAGAAGACCAGAAAAATAAATCATAGAAAGAAACTATCTTCACTCTCAAGATATGTGGACAGTCAACATCACTCAGTCAACTACTTAGTCAACATTGAAGAAACTTATTACAAAACAGAGCTCTTTTAACCTTCATTTGAAGTAAGTGGTTTTTATTATTATATACTCCAATTGAAGCCAAAAAGGCTAAGAGACTCATGAACTGGAAAAATACATTTATACAAAATCTCCCCACACTTAAAAACATTAATTTTTAAGTATAGTTGATCATCTCCTCCCTTTCATCTAAGTCTTCCTCACTAATGTCAAAGGCCACCTTATTTTTGCATTAAATAACGGCAGGACCTGACCAAAGACAATTGCAGCACAGAAGGGAGGAAGGGACCCAGGATCTGGACCAGAGGGTCCACAGGGGATACATATACACTCCTGTCAATCTATTCAGTGGAATTTAAGAGAGCATTTCAATGTGAAAGGGGCAGTGTCCAAGGGGCAAGTCACAGCTAGAGGTGAAGAATGCAGGCATGTTAAGATAAACATATGGGCAGAGCCAATTGAGAGAGTATAGGAGAGGCCCAGGTTAGGGACTGAGCAGAGAAGTTAACCCAATGATGTTTTCAATGTTGATAAGGCTTCACAAGTTTTCTAGAATAGGACTGATAAGGGAACACAGAATGAGGCAAAATCTCATGCTGATGGCTGAGGAGGTTCTTCTGTGCTGTGACCAAGATCAGCTTTTCTTCTTCTTTTTTTTTTTTCTAACTTTTTAAATTTGAATTAGAAACAGGATTGTTTTACATAACAATCCCAGTTCCCTTCTCCCACCCATCCTCCCCTACCCACCCCCAACTAAAACCTTATCTGTCACATATCTTTTCTGCTCCCCCTGGATGGTGAGGCCTTCCATAGGGTGTCATCAGAGTCTATCATATCCTTTGGGATAGGGCCTAGGCCCACCCCTGTGTGTCTTGGCTCAGGGAGTATTCCTCTATATGGAATGGGCTCCCAAAGTCCACACCTATGCTAGGGATAAATACTGGGCTTCTACAGGAGGTCCCACAGATTTCTGAGGTTTCCTCACAGAAACCCATGTTCCTGGGGTCTGGATCAGTCCCATGCTGGTATTCCAGCTATCAGACTGGGGAGCAAGAGTTCCCGGATGTTCAGGTCAGCTGTTTCTGTGGGTTTCACCAGCCTGGTCTGGACCTCTTTGCTCTTCACTGGTCCTTCTCTGCATCTGGGTTTCAGTTCAGTTCGGTGATTAGTTATGGGTGTCTGCTTCTACTTCCACCAGCTGCTGGATGAAAGCTATAGGATGGCATATAAATCAGTCATCAATCTCATAATCAGGTGAGGGCACTTAAGGTAGCCTCTCCTCCGTAGCTGAGATAGTTAGCTGGTGTCATCTTTGTAGATCTCCAGACATTTCCCTAGTGCCTGATTTCTCTGTAAACCAAAAATGTCTCCCTCTATTATGATATCTCCGTTCTTGTTATCATGTATTCTTCCCCTGACTCATACTTTCTGCTCCCTCATGTCCTCGGCATCCTTCTTCTTCTCCCCTTCTCATTCTCCTAACTCCCTCCTCCCTCTTCCCGTGCTCCCAGTTTGCTCAGCAGATCTTGAACCTCTCCCCTTCTCCAGGGGACCATGTATGTCTCTCTTAGGGACCTCCTGGTTTATTAGCTTCCTGGTGGCGCATGCCTTTAATTCCAGCACTCGGGAGGCAGAGGTGATCTCTGTGAGTTCGAGGCCAGCCTGGTCTCCAGAGTGAGTGCCAGGATAGGCTCCAAAGCTTCACAGAGAAACCCTGTCTTGAAAAAACAAAAACAAACAAACAAAAAACCAGGATCTCATCTGTATAGGTTAGGCTAGCCTGAAACTCTCATTGATCCCCTGCCTCAGCCTTCCATGCCTTCATTTTGCCAAGACCAGCTTTTCAGTGTTCCCTTAAGGAAAAAAAAAAAAAAAAGTAGTCATTTTGGAAAGGAAGATCTCAAGACAGAGAAATAATTCTGTAAAGACTCAGTTGATTTTCCTTTCCAAAAAGGCTACATAACAGAAGACAGAAGAAAATCATCTGGACATGATCATTACCTCCTCTTTTCAGGATGAGCTATGAAGCATGGGGTTGATGAGGTTGTTGACAATTTCCTTATTCTCGTGTGACAGAAGTACCAACAGGGCATGACTAAGTTTTGCCTGATTTGTTTGGTTCATGACTGGAAGCTATTACAACTTAATGATGTTTTCATTTATTCATTATTTAATGTTTTACATTAAGACATAAGTCTTAATTTATATTCAATAAATATAATACTTGCAAAAAAAGTAAACATAGCTTAGGATAAGACCTAAGGTCAGTTCCTATCCATTATCTCAACAAGGACATACATACTGCTGGATGCTTTGTCATTTGACTAGGAAACCTGGAAAGGGGGGGGGGAGCAGAAATTGTGCTGTTGTTGTTCAAGAATCCAAGATCTGCTAGATATACTCAAATTACTTTACCTATTAATGGAGGATGCCATGATGGCTTGGGGTCAGGCTCAGTAACATAAAGTTGAATTACTATAGATGAAAATTTTCTGATACAGAAACAAAATACTAAAGTTTTGTTTTGTTTTAAACAACTAGGTGATATTGAATATACTATCCCAATAAATCCAACATGGATTGTTGGATCTTCAGCAAGTTAAATGTAAACTGTTCCTGCTTCACTGTCAACAGAGGGTAGGCCTCTCTTTCTATCCTCTACATGACAGAAGCATTCCAGTGACACAGTACACAGAAGGATTTTGAGTTCATACCAGAACAGTAGTGACAACAGCCCTATAGCATGCTGAGGTTCAGATTTAGTGAACCTTGATACATTTATAGGCTAAAGATACATGGAATAAAGGAACCAATAAAAACCAATTCTTCCTTGAACAAGAAAAGTCAGGAAAATAAGAAAATGAGACGGTGGGATCTGTTTCTATAAGCTTTCTGGTCATACTATGACAGAAGTCATCAGTAAGAAAACTTCATGGGTAGCCTTTCAAGGTTGGATGTCCTAATCTGCTGTGCTTATGTATCCACATAGGTCATATGAGGAATGGCCACTGGTGAGAAAAGCAACTCTCTAGCAAGCATTAAACCCCACCATTCAGGGCAGCACACCATATGGAGAGCCTTGATAGCAATGCCTTGCTTTTCTTTTGGCATCACCAGGTTTGTACACAGAGCTGGCCAGAGAAAACCCTTGCCAGTGTTAGAACTGTGCTATAATTTAACTCTGGTGTGGCTCATTCTCAGCATCCACCCAGCACAGCCTCCTTCTCTGTGGGGGTGGGGGCTAAATGCCAGCCGGAGGTGCTAAATCTCAGTTCTGCTGAGGACAGGAACAAAAATACCAAGCTAAATTTCACTTGAAACAATTATCCGCACACTGAATCATTCTTCTCTTCTAGTATCTCTGTTGCCCTCCTGACTACCTCTTTGTAATAGCACTGCAGTGCTACTCACAAAAGACAAAAGTGAGTGTTCTTAGCTAAATATAACTGAACTGATAGCGTTGAAATTAATTAACGCTGAATTTTAATCACGTAGCAAATGTTAAGTGTCAAACGTGAAAGGGTAGTTGGTAAAGGTCAAGGGACATATGTCAAAGTTTTGTGAAGGGAAAGCTAGCGGCAGTTGATTGAAATTTTTCACAGAAGCAGCATTAGGGATCATAATTAACTTGACTGCTGTCTGCATGTAATATTTCCTGCTTGAGACTTTTACCTGATCAATACTTAGCTTTAAGCAAAACTACAAATTTGTTTGATGTTTGGCACAGGAAGCTAGCTGCCATTTCTCATTGTCATTTGCTGTGACGTTTATACAATGAAGCAAGCACATGGGCTGGGCTGGGCTGAGTTCCCATCTCTAGAAAGGGCTAACTCTACTCCCTCACTTGGCACGCACTCTCCGTTTAGTGTACAGTGTGAGGTGAGAAGATACCATAGGCTCTTTTCATGGCTCCGGACTCATCACCCCAGAGCTAGTACTGTCTCTGAAAAACTGCCAGTGACCTGGAATCGTGGGTAGTTCTCCAGCCTTGCATGTGGAACTTTGCCCAGTATTTGTTTTCAAATATTTCAGAAGCCAGAAGACTGTATGCTGACATAAATCTTACCTACACACTTCAGTGTGTTGTGTAATCAAATCTTCACCGGAAACTCAGACACGACCCTGTCACCTCTTTATCAAGCATTTATTTGGAAAGCGTTTGTAGATGACCCCCTTCCTATTCTCATCTAGCCAAGACTTCAGTGTCTAGAATTTTAATACAAAAGTTTAAATAAAAATGTCCTGTTCTATGGCTACCAAAAAAAATGGGACAGAGAATCTTCAGGACTTTAAGAGAGATTTTTAAAATTTATGTATAAACTGTGGCACAGGGTGCCCATGGGTGCTACTGCCTATGAAGGCCAGAAGAACTAGATCAGATTTCTTGGAGCTGGAGGAAAAAGCAGGTGTGAGCAGCCTGCTGGGGGCGCTGGGAACCAACTTGGGTCCTATGAAAGAACAACGTATCTTTAACCAGACTTTTCTGATCAGCCCATTCAGGGACTTTATAACTTTTCCTCACGTGGATTTCATGACGTTACCTTCAATCTGACCATTCAGGTCCTTCTTACTGCATATTAAATTATTTCAAAATAAGGACAAACCATTCCCTGGAACTCTTATGTGAGATTTGTCCTTTGGCAGTGTGTTTAGATTGGACTGTTTTCTCCATATTTTACATGTTTTATTCTTCCTAGACCTTTCATTGTTTGGTAGCTTCTCTAAATTTCACTTCTGCTTGATGTTTCAAAAGCCTATTCTTGCCAAGAATAGAATTTTCGATAGTGCACTAACCTCTTTAGCAAAGTATCAGGCCTACTTAAAATAAGGACTCTCTTTCTTTCTCAAGGGTTTTATAGAGTGACAGCCTAATGATAGTCAAATGATAATGTATTAA